AGGTAACTTGGATATTGCATATCCTCTTCTTCTTTCTTGTCTTCCTCAGGCAGGCAAGCCACAGCAGTATTAGCATGCTGAGATTTTTTTTATATTATAACAGAATATGATAGAGTCTTTTGACAGTAAGCTTAAATTTTTCTACCAAATGGTTTTAAAAAAACCCTTGAGGTCTAAGGAGCCTTAAAGTAGTTTTAGTGACTGTTAAATCACAGAATTTGAGATATTAGTTATATGCCAATATTCTAACATTTTTCATTAGTGACATGAAAACAAATATAAACTCAATACCTGACAGAAGAGCAGTAAGCAAAGAAATGAGGATGTGCAGACAGGGAGGAGCCTTTATCACTTAGTAAAGGTCAGCCCTTGCAACTGAAATTTGTTTTAGTATAAACCAATGTATCTTTGTACGTTCAAGAGCAAAAATATAACCCAAACTGAAAAAAAATAATGATGAAAAGGAGTGAATCTGTACAGGACAGTGATCTTGTAGAGTAGTAACAGCATATGAGTGCAATGCTGCAGCAAAAAAAATGGGCTAATGTGACCCTGGATTATAAACAGGATATAAAAATAACCAGGACTCTTAATACATAGTGTTAAAAGGAATTATTTCAGAATACTGCATGTGGTCCTCTTCCTAAAAATAAAAAAAAAAAAACAAACAAACCAAAACAAACCATAAATCCTGAAAGAAAGTACAGACACTTCAGAAGAAAGCAACAACTCTCTTGAGGGCTGGAAGTGAGAGACTTCAAAAACGCTGTGTGTTTGCCTTATAAATATAAACTTTGCAGTCAATAATAATGTTCTCAGGGACAAAAAAAGGTGCCAGTTTTGCCCATTTCTGGGGGTCATCTGTAATGTCTCCCTACCTTGCTGGAAGATAGTGAAACTCTCAGGGTTTTGGGAGTTTTTTTTGTCTGTTTTACACAGTACAGGTGAGATATTCCTGAGTTATTAGTACTATTTTCAGAAATTAATGTCTGTGTATTGCTTTGCATTCCTTGCAAATCTTAGGCTTACCCACTCTAGAGGTAACAGTGAAATGTTTAAAATGGGCAGATCAAACTGGGTGATCCAATATCAGACTATGATTCCATGAAGTTGGCCAAAATCCTGTATTAACTGTATTCATTCACACATACCCTGTCTGGAGATGTGTAAACAAAGAAGAAAACAAACTAGTGAAATGAATGTTTGAAAGGCTTTTTTCCTAGGATGTACAAACAGGATTGCAGAGTTCATCTTTAGAAGAGTATTTTGGAATGAAAATTAAAATTCCACCCTGTCAGTCCTTGGAGCATTGCTTGTCGTAATCTTAGGTAAAACAGTTTCCTTGGGACCAGCTAAAACCTCTGAAAAGATTAATTTCAGTTGTAAAGTCTAATAACAGTGTAAGATAATGTCCAGAAAAAAAGGAAACTGAATTTAAATAATGAATAATAATAATAATATATATTAAAGTAGGTGCTGGAAAAAAAAGCTAAACACTTTTATGAATGAATGAAATGTGCAGGTAATTAAACAATAGGCTTGCAGATGTATGTTCAAGTCTGTATATTATTATGCAAATGTTAGTATCCCCAGTTCAGTTATTCAAGAAAGGACATTCAAGTGCTAAATCCGAGTTCTTTTTATCCAAAGAGTATTTTTAAAAGGGTCTTTGAGCTCATTTTGAATTGTGACATGACTTTGTACTGGCAGACCTAAACTCTTGTTCACTGTGCAAGTTTTAGAGCCATCACCTCAGAAAAATGCCTGCTAAAAGTGGAGCTTGGATGTCACAAATGTCAATAACATTGCTGAGTCTCAACCAGTGTACTCAGAGCTTTTCCCATAAAATATTCACTGCAGTAGTTCCAGACACACTTCTGTTTATGCTGGCAGCTAATGGCTTGTCCATAATCAACACTTTTTAGTTTTTAAGAAAGATGGAGCATTTTATGGCATACAAAGGAGCATAAATAAGTAAATGTTGGGACAAGGGTCAATAAATATGACTTTGTGATTCCATTAGCTTTTTAGGACATTTTCTCATTATAACCTTCATAGGAATAGTGCCCACCATCTTTTTTTAGTCTCTTTGCATATGAATTTCCAGTTCTTCTGAAACTTTCCCTAGCCTGCAGGCAGAGGGGAAGCCTCCACTCCTGTGTGTAATTCAGATGTTTACATGCTGGCACTTCTCTTAGCCTGGAGCTCTTTGGCAGAGGGATTTTGTGCCATAAGAGCTGTGAGTTGGAAGCACCATGGCAATGCAGATTTGTCTGCCATCAGGTCTGTGCTGCTGGGGATAGGCTGCTTCTTAACCACCTCGTTTAAATATAGCTTGGGTGTCTCTGTCCCACACTGAAGTCTAGCATGTAGAGATCTCCAAACCTCTGGAGTGCTCGAGGATTTTATTGCTTTATCTGGGTCCTCATTTGAATAGCAGACTCTCTTGAATCCACAGCTTCACAGGAGTTTGTGTTTCTTTGGCACAAACATAAGGTTTACTTGATATTTCAGTATTTGCACATTTTTGATTGATAATTATTTTATGTCTTGTAATACAAGTCCTGTTAGAAAGACAGTATTTTCATTTTTATGATTTTTATTTCTGACTCTGAAGGCGATACCATTGTAGTTCTGGTTAGTAGTTCTTTGGTGGTTTGAATTTTCCAGTTCTTACAGATTTGGTAGCTACAGGTAAAAATATGTGAGCATTCAAGAGCCTTGGTATGTCAAATGTATCAAAAATTGTATTTTAACAAAACGCAATTACTCATTGGGGATATTTGGTAAATGTGTATGAAGAATATTATTAGATCATGGCTCAACTAAATCTAAACTTAATATACTTTCAGTGATGAATTTACTGTAGTCTTTAATTTTTTTAATGTATAGCTTTGAGCCTTCAAGTAGTACTTGATTAATTCAGGCAAGGAATTCATTAATTCAGGCTCCACTGAAGAAATGAATTAGTTTTCCTTTCTGTATTTTGGGTCTTGTTCCACAGAAGTATTAATTTTGAATACCTGGATGATGTTGATTAAATTGCGGTCTTTCTACCACAAAAATTGTAAAACTGAAATGATACTTCAAACCCTAATTAATGCTGCTCATAGAAAAATTTATTTCTGCCTGCAGGTCTGTAGGAATAGCACTTGACAAAGCGCAAGATATAACTTGGAACTCAGCTGGAAACAAAGGACATAATAAATAGTCCATGTTTCCTGGGTGGAGAGAGGATGGGGAGGAGAGATGGAAAGAAGAAAACAAATACCTAAGATGAACAGAAATATTCTCAGAAACTTGTTGAGCAGTTGGTCCTCTCTGTGAAAAAAAAAAGTGTAAATCCAGTTTGTTGGGGTTTTTTTTGGGGTTTTTTTGGGGGTTTTTTGGGGGTTTTTTTGTTTGTTTGTTTGGGTTTTTTTTTTTGGAGGTAACAGATCCCCAGTTATAATCAACTTAAAAATTTTACATGGGAAAATGCTGCGTCAAATGTCAAGTGAGAAGATGCTTTTTTTGTCTCTTCCACAAGAGCATGGCAGCCTGACACAAATAGACAATACTATGACAGCTGTAAATCACAGCTTTTTAAGCAAGTGGAAGACAGCAGTAGTCTCAATGAGGATAGTGATGTAAAGTAAAATAGGGCTTGTAAAAAGTTATTAATTTATACTCATATTTTTCACAAAGCTTCATACAGTGAAGTGGTGAAGAAGTGGAGAGCAGAATACTCCCCTTTGTTGAATATATTTTTAAAATGTCATTTTTTTTCTTCATGTGAACCATTGATCTTTTATGTGGTTTATATTGAGCTTTTTACTTGCCTGTAAGTCTGTCGACAAGACAGCAAACTTCAGTTTCAGGTTAAAAGTCACCATCCATTCAAATGTACAGATGCTCTAAGTGTCACTTGTACAGAAGAGAAGGGAAGATGCTGGGTCAGGTTCCCTCTAATAATCTTCCAAGTTCAGTGTCCATGCCAAGGTGCCTTTTCCATAAGGCAGAAGAACATGACCTGACTTCTGCTGCTGCTGTACTGCTTTCTAGAAACACATTATAGATAGCTGTCCACTGATTATTTGGACAGACAAGAGGTAGAAGATAGCACACAGCAATATAAACCCCACAAATATGTTGATAGTGGCGTCATTTTTCAAATTAATTGCTTGATTATTTTTCTTCATCATTTAACCATTCAATGAAGAACTGGAATTAGTGAGCTGTAAGGAGGAACTCAGCAATCAAAACACATCAACTCAATAATTACAATAAACTGCCCTGTATAACACTTAATTTTGTGTTTAAATCCTAATGTAGATTTCTGAAGTTAGAGGGTCAGATGAAACAATTCCATTAGAGGGCGATAGTACCTGTGGGTGAAATGTCTCATGTGCTACATATATTTTCTTTAGCATCAGTGAATGGAAGTGAAAAAGGAAGTTAATGTAATTTAACATTAAAATAATGCAGAAACATTTTGTAATATGCGATAATGCACATCCTATCATATATCAAAAAAACAAACAGGAATATGACAGAAGTGATGCAAAATATATGCAGCTGATATTAACACTGTGACACTCCATTCAAGAGAGAAACTGAAGTTGCTTGTCTTTCTATGTTCTCAGTTTGTAAATTGTATAACTTTTTTTCTGGGAAGTTTATTGGTCTCATAAAAGAAATCTTACCTTTGAAACTGTGTATTTTATTAGCTTTAATGCTGCAGACTTTCCAGATTTCCAGGCAAGGGATTGCAGAAATGTGCATGTTTGATCAGGCATCTTTTAGTGGTTAAATACAGTAGTGTTCTGTGATTTGGCAATGATTTCTGCAAAAGATTTAGGATTTTTTTATGAGTTTTGAGACTTTTTTAGGCAAGAAATGTAAAGCATGAAAACCCAAATGAGCCTGGCTAACATGGCAAGTTAGTCCTTCCTGTTTTAATACTTTGCTGTGTCTAATCTAAGCGATACCACAAACAGCATTTCTTTTTCCATTTTCAGTTGTGTTACTTGATACTACAACTGCCCTTGGAGAACTAGGATGGAAAACATTTCCCTTAAATGGGGTAAGTCTCTCACCATTTTGGTTTTTTTTTGGTCTGGATTTTGGCATTCTGAAACTCTGTAAGTGAATGGCTCTCATACCTGGGTGGATATTTTTGAAATACAGACTTATCTGAAAGATTTTAGTTGTTCTTGGGACTGGAGCTCCCTGTGTTGTGAGTAGAAATTACAGATGCAAGAAAGACAAGAGTACACATTGTTATGTTCTTCTCTTGCTTTTCTGAGTACTAAATATCTATCTTTAAATCCAACTGTAACTGTTATAAACCATAAAGTTTCATATTTAAAAAAAATTCCTGTGCTAGAGGAATGTGTTACAATGCCTTTTTTTTTTTTTTTTTTTGAAATAAAGGGAAAAAATAATTTTCTGTTTTGCAAATTGGAGCAAAAATTTTATGGTTTGTTTGAGAACCAGTATGGACTTTAGCATCTGATAATATGGCATCAGATTACCTAAATCAGAAAAATGAAAACATTAATAGTGTCTGTTGTCCTTGGGAACAGTGAGCATGGGGTAGAGCAACATTTTTACTCTCTAAAGTTCAACCATCAGTGCTCTGCCAGTGGCTGCACTTTCAGAACCTGTTGTTTTCCTTTCCACCCAGCTAATGCATATCACAGAGTATCAGGGGCATTTGGAGTTTCACTTTTAAAGTAAGATGCACTATTCTGGAGCATTTAACGTGTTCTGCATCAGCTTGTATTTCTGATGTCACTGTACATACTGTGTATCACTTATTTTTATACTAGCTTGCATTATCTCATGATTCTTGAGTATGAGGCATATAATTACTTGCTTCTCTGAAATGAGCTCAGAAAATACTCTTTTTCTGAGAGAAACATCTTGTTCCATTTTCAATCATTTTATTTGCCATGTTCTGTTCCAGAAGAAAGTAGAAACTGTCTACCCTCAGCACCTTAATAATCCATTTTTATAAAATGCCTTCTGTGTCTTTGCCTTCGGGGATTTCAAGCCATATGACATTTCTTAATCTCAGCCTGTTTTCAGCTTTATGGATTACTCTTTTTCTTTGTATTCCTAGGCATAATTTCCATTTCCATACTTCCGTGTTTTGCAGTTTGTATGCAGTCTCATGCAATCTGAGTTATAATTCTGAAAGTTTTGTTTCCTTTAAAAATTCCAGACAAAGTAAATATTGTCATACACCACAATGAGAAATTAATCAAGGAATTTCTGCTCTAGCAAAAACGAAGGACTTTCATCTACCATGATGAGAAGATCCAGTGTTTTGCTTGAGCACTGGGATGAGCTGCACTGAAGTGCACAGTATGCTTGGAAAGCACACAAGATATAATTGCAGTTATTGTGTAAATTCTTAAAAACTTTAGGTACTCCAAAATAGCCACAGTATGCAAACACAAAAGCACGTGCACTCCAAGTTCATTTAAAACACAGCTATTATAACATGTAATTTTTTGCTCATCACACATACCCTAAAACAATGGTTTTGCAGCCTCATGAGGGTTTTGGGTATCTTAGGACCACTGCTGTATATTAAGAACTGGTAGCACTTACTAGAATACATAAAGGAGTTTACATTTCAGTAAGAACCTGGGATTCAATTATTAAAATATTTCCCAAAAATGTACAAAGTGGTTTGAAAAAACAAAAGGAGCTAGAGTAAATACAAGGCAGAAAAATGATTTGTAGCATAAAATCATCAACTCATTTATGAATGATATAAATCTTTATGAATAGAATCATTATCATAGAATCATTATGAAAAGACCTTTCAGATCACTCAGTCCAACTGTTAACACCACTGTATTCACCACATCCCCAAATGCCACAGTCACAGACTTTCTGAACACTTCCAGGAATGGTGATTTATATCCACAGTGCTACCTCGTCTGACTTACTCCTGTATACTGATATAATCCAGAATATGGCACAATCATTGGTGTGATTGAGATTATCACTGCAGAGATAAGAATCTGTTTTGTCCCATGATGGGCTCAATAGGATTTTCTTGTTTCCTGAAGGAGAGTGACAGATTTTGAATTGTTGGTGTTTTTTGAAAGAAATTTTTGTTCAGATACTATTGAAATCTAATGTGTCACTTTAATCAAACCTTTTATTAAAAAATGTTTGCGTAGTGTTTATGTGTGTAAGAAAAATGTCATTGACATATGATTATTGCTCTGCTGAACATTTTTGATGTTAGGAGGATGGGATGATGGGTTTTCCTGAGCCTGTGACATTACAGAAGTCATTAATTTACTGGCACACTCAGTCACAAGGAATGTTTTCATTAAATTGAAGAGCAACTGAAATAATAATGCTTGGGATTTGGGTAATACTGAGTATGCCTCTGAGATTTTAAACTAACAGACCAGAGTGAAGTGGGATAAAAAAATCAGGAGTTCTTTTGGAACTTGCAGAACCTTAACCTTTGCCTTCCAAACTTTTTATTTATAGTAGATTCATGACATAACATTTGTAAGCTTTCAGCAGTTTTGGTCATCATTGAGCTGCAAAGATAACTGTTATCTGTGTCTTGGGAATATAATGTGTGATTTTTTTATATAATGTGTAATTTTTTAATGTTTTAAAACTTTTTTCCCAGTTATTTGTGCATTGTTCCTGAAGCATGAGACTGCAATATTTTTTTCTTACAAATGTGTTTTATATGCATGTCAGATTTTTTTCCTTGTATTTTGAACAGGTCATAAATTTAGTGCTTAGAGATACAAAAATGCAGCATAAAACATTAATATCTCTGAGGTCAATAGCATCAACTTTTGTTGATTGAGTTCCAGTTTAGATTCTTAGTGATGGGCTGTCTAAAATTTCTGCCTTAATAATGGACACATCTGATACTTCCTCTGTTCTTTGGGCTATAGTTCAAAATGACTGATTGATTTATGAAAAAGCATGCACTATGAAAGGAGATCCTTACTCACCAAACTGTCACTCCATAACCTTGAAAATATAGAACAGAGGTTTGGGTTTTTTTGATTGGTACAAGAAATGGAGGACAGAAGTCCATGTGTTTCAGAAGAGGATGTGAACGGTAGCTGGTGGGCAGGCTCAAGTGCTCAAGTGCATGTGAAGTAAAATGCAGCATTCTCACCACAGTCAGTTTGCTCGCTGTGGGGACACAGGAACTAGGAAAGGAATGAAAAAAATCTGAAAGTCCAGCTGAAATGCAGCGGTCCACAACCTTCCTTTACACATTAGCAGTAATATTAATAAAATAAGGTTGGTGAGGTATTTTCCTTCTGTCTTCAACATAACTTTAAAAAATATTATCTTTTTCCTATTGCATTAATCATTGCAAAACAATTTTGTGAGCTAAGTTTATTCAGAAGCTGTGGTTTGGAGACTCTTGTATTACAGACCTGTCCAGTCTTAATACATTTCTGCTGTAGAATCATAAAATGGTTTGGGTTGGAATGAAGCTCAAAGATTGTCCAGTTTGAACTCCCTGCCATGGGCAGGAGGCCGCAGGACCACACTGCTCAAACCTCAGACCATCCAGTCTGCCCTTGAACACTTCCAGGGATGGGGCAGCCACAGCTTTTCTGGGCAACCTGTGCCAGGGCCTCCCCACCCTCACAGGAAAGAACTTCTTCCCAATATCCAATCTAAACCTCCTCTCTTTCTGTTTAGAGCCATAGCTCTCATCATATCACTCCGTGTCTTTGTGAAAAGTCCCTCTCCAGATCTCTTGTGGCACTGGAAGGTGCTGTAAAGTCCCTCCACAGGCTTCTCTTCTCAGGCTGAACAAGCCCAACTTGTGTGAAGCCACTCCAAAAATCAGTTTAAAAGGAGGACAAGGTGACTCACAGCACAAAGCTGTGAGACATTTACATGTGGAACAGACTTACAAAAGCTATCTCGACTTGTCATTGTAGACACAATGTATGGCCTCAGCAGTAAAGAACCTTCTAGAAGTCCTCTAAATTATTTGACAACTCTGTGAGTGAGGAAGCTACTTTAGATTCCACAATTATTTGAATAGTTTCCTTGTCAATTGGTAATTTACGTATTGATCTATCCAGGGAAATAATTCTAGTTTGAATATCTTGTTTCTAGAGAGGATTAAAATATTTTTTTTAATAACAGTTGCTAATATACAGTATTACTGTTCTTCCTGTGTTATGAATTTTTCAAGACTAATCTTGTTATAGTACTGATGTTTTTCCCTACCAGACTGTTTATATTACCCTCTCTGTTAAAATAATTGTTTCACAGTAAATGCATTTATCAACAATCTATTTTTAGTTGATTCTTAGCTAATTAGGGGACATTTATGTAGTTTATGGTATCAAGAGTTTTGAATGGCTTGGTACTGTTTGTCACAGATGGCACTGATGTTTTCCTGCGCCGGCCTGCAAACATTTCTTTCGATGCACTGCATCAATTTTCACCTTCATCTTTTAAATATCTCAGAAAGTGATTGGGGGTATATATCTCAGAACATTCTTCTACAATACTTAACATTTTTGACTATTCATTTCCTTAAGTAGACTGTCTTTGAACTGTATTTATAAATGTAAGGAAGTTTATATACTTAATTCTTATTTTCTAAATAAAACAATTATGTGTTCTCAGCACTGTTTTGGTCACCAGTATAAACATAGCACCAAAGGGCAGCTGGAGAGAAATTAACTCTGTCCCAGAGAGACACAAGAAACATAATTAAATTCAAGTTGTGTGAAACTTATCAGGATAAAACAGCAATACCCTAAAAAGACTTCTATCTGAAAGTATTTCGCTTTTCTTCTAAACAAATTGTAGAGTCATTTGGGCTGGAAGTGATTTGGATCACTGAGTCTGACTGCAAATTAACACTGCCAAGTCCCTCACTAGGCCATGTCCATAAGTGCCACATTGACTTGTCTTCGCACATCTCCAGGGCTGAGGATTCAACTGCATCCCTGGACAGTTCCAATGTTTGGTAACCTTTTCCATGAAAAAAAATAAAAAAAAATCCTAATGTCCAATCTAAATCTTCTCTGGTGCAACTTCTGGCCA